GAACTTCCTCAAAATTAAAAAATTTGTCCTGAAAAGGAAATCATCAAAACAGCGAAAAGACAATCCCAAAAATGACTGAATATATTTCCAAAGCATATGTCTGATAAGGGACCTGTACACAGAATATATTAACAACTCTCATAACTCAATAATCAAAAGATAAAATAACCCAACTACAAACTGGCAAAGGATCTGAAAAGACAGTTCTGTGAAGAAGATGTATAAATGGCTAATAAGCATATGGAAAGATGCTAATGAGACACTACTTAATATTCAGTAGGATGAGTATAGTGAAAGAGACAGACAATGACAAGGGTTGGAGGATGTGAAGAAATCTGAACCCTTACACACATTTGGTGGGAATGTAAAATGGTGCAGCCACTTTGGAAAACAGTTTTCAGTTCCTCAAAATGTTCAACACAGAGCTACCTTATGACCCAGCAAATCCCCACAAGAGAAATGAAAACATATGTCCACAGGAAAACTTGCAAACAAATGTTTATAGCAGCATTACTCATAATAGCCAATTAGTACGAATAGCCCAAATGTTCATCAGCTGATGAATGGTTAAATAAACGTGGTATATTCAGAGTGGAATATTATTTGGCAATAAAAAGCAACGAAAAGACATGATACTATAAACCTCTTAGAAGAAAACATAGGAAAAATATTCTCTGACACTTAGGGCAGTCTATCCAGGCAGTAGAAATAAAAGCAAAGATAAACAAATGTGACCTAATTAAACTTACAAGCTTTTTGTGCAGCAAAGGAAACTATAAATAAAACCAAAAAAACCCTACAGAATGGGAGAAAATATTTTGAAATGATGCAACAAACAAAGGCTTAATTTCCAGAATATACAAATAGCTCACACAACTTAATAACAAAAAACTCTACAAACAACCCAATCCAAAAATGGGCAGAAGACCTAAACAAGTAATTCTCCAATGAAGACAGACAAGTAGCCAATAGGCATATGAAAAAATGCTCAGTATTGCTAATTATCAGAGAAATGCAAATCAAAACTACAATGAGGTATCACTTCACACCAGTCAGAATGGCT